GGAGAGCAATTTACCTTTGCTGGCTAAGTGCCTGACTTTGGCACTAGCATCCCGATGACATAAATTGAAACACCTTTCTTCCCTCACTCGACGTTTTACAAAGCATCTTCAGTGGTCCAAGAACTCTGTTAGGATACAGACTGAAGCAGACATGGTCTCTGCCTTCAGGCAGTTCACAGTCTAGTGAAGGAGACAGTCCCACAAACAAATGAGGCAACATGCCCAAGAATACTCAGGAAATAGAAATATAATTTCCTATTGGGCAAGAACAACAGGCAGGGAATGGAAAGCCTTTAGCGGGAAATCTTTATGGACAAAGAAGTGGCTCCTGGATGGCAGCATGGGTGAGGAGAAAGCCCAAGCTTCACAGGCACCCAGAGTTCCCAGCTCTACTTCCTGGCTAAGTAAGCTGGAGAAGGCACATGAACTCTCCAAGCCTTAGTGTCCTTCTCTGAGAAATGTTGAGTGATGCCACCTACATCATAGGATTCCTGTGATGCTGGAATGAGGTGATGTATAGGAAACAGAGTGTCTAGGACACAGTGCATGCTCAGTAAGTATTTAGTTCTCTTTCCTTTTTCATTCCCTTGGACAATTATGTGAACTAACAGCAATATATACTACAGGAACATAATCACCGCAAGAACTATGAAAACAACAGCAACAAATCCACACATGGTCAGTATCGTTTGTTTTTATATAATAATCATTATCCTGAATGCTAACCATTATATAGATCAATCTTTTCTTCTCATCCCAAATTTACCATAAACACATATATGAAAACAATCTTCAGAGAACAGAGATTTATCATCTTGGGGCTTTGCTCGAAAAAATAAATCTTCAATGAGTATGCATTTATCTGGCAAGATTTCAATAAAACTTCGGCTCACTAACAGTTTTGATGAAGCAGAAAATCTATATATTTATAAAGATTAGCATCTATACATCTCTATGACTAAGCCGTTATTCAGTAGACTCAGTAAAAATTAGTTTAAGGACGTTCTTTCGTTTCTGCGTGGACATTTCCTCACCAATTATCCTCTCTGAATACCTTAGAAAGTCTTCCAGTGGTGGTGGAGGGAGATGTTCCCTGTTGGGGATCCAGCTCCTTCATATGCTAACTACTCATCCTGAGCCAGGACCCCAGCCACCTTGTATATTTTATACTCCACTTCTCAAATTGGTTCATTTCTCTCCAAACACTTCTTGCCCTCTCTTACCACCATGCTTTCTTCCCCTATGCCATTCACCTTGCCTGAAATACCTTACCTTCCCATCTTCAGCCAACAAAATCCTAGCCCATCTTCTAAACCCAGCTCACAGCCTGTCTCCACGGAGCTGACCCGGGCCATTATCTCCCACGCTCTCCTGACCTCACTGTCCCGTCAGCATCACATTCACTGGTGTACTGCTGCTGGGGCTGTTATTTTTTTTACTCTTTGTTACTTATTTTACAATTTCACACTCCCTTTCCCCCCCAACTGAATAAGCTTTCTGAGACCATGAGCCACATGTTAGAATTGAGCATACTCTTTTGCACACTGTTGATATGTAGATTTACTCGTTGGTTGGCCAGAATGCATGAGGTATTGTGATAGGAAATTTCAAAGTCCTGGGGCACCTGGGTAGCTCAGTCAGTTAAGCATCTGCCTTTGGCTCAAGTCATGATCCTGGGGTCCTGGGATTGGGCCCCGCGTCCGGATCCCTGCTCAGTGGGGAGTCTGCTTCTCCCTCTCCCTCTGCCTCTTCCCTCTGCTCATGCTCTCTTTCAAATAAATAATAAATAAATCTTTAATAAATAAATAACAATTAAAACAAAGAAAATTTCGAAGTCTTTCTTCAGCATGAATAGCAGTTTGCACAGTATGAGTGACTTCTTTTGACATTACAACAGATGACATTTCTGAAAGCTCAAGATGAATTAAACTATTGGCATACTGTTTTCCCCTGCAGAAGGTATTCCATTGTGACAAATATTTTGAATGGCAACAGAATTATACAAATAAACTATCTCAGAATTCAAGCAGGTACTTATTACAGCCAGCTATATTAAATAATAATAGCATTTGTATTTTAGTCAACTTATTTAACAAATTATTCACTGAGTCCCTAATTTGTACAAGGAACCATACTAAGATCCACTGCGAGAAGAGATGAATAAAAAACCGACCAAGTCCTCAACACTCAACACTTTAACTGAAGAGACAGACTAAAAAAATTTTTTTACAAAACAAGTTAAATGAGCAATACAATATAGCTAACTTACTGAATAGTGTGTGTGATTCATTTCAACTGGTAGGGCTTAGGAACCTTCCGTCAAAACAAAACCAAACCACAAAAAGGGACAAGATGACACTGGAACAAGGCACTGAGAGATAATTGGGACTCTGTAGACCAAGACGGCAGAAGGGGGATCGGGGTTATAAGATTAGCAAGAGCAAAATATACAGACATGAAAACACACCCTCACCCATTCTAGCTTCTCTCGGTAGGTGATCTCACCTGCTACTTCATGAGAAATTGAAAAGGTCATTCCTCTCCTGCATCTCACAACTGCCTCTGCCTTTCGCTCTATCTCAACAGTTTCCCCATTCTTCCCTAAAGCTAAATTCTCCCGGTTGTTCAGGACCCTCCTGCTGCTTGTCTAATGTCTCATCTTGTTGCAGCGCTCACCCTCCCTCTCCTTCCTTTTGCCGACAAGTTTTTGAAAGCATGGTCTGTACTGGTTGTCTCTACTTCATCTCTAATTCATTTCAGTTACAGAAGGTTAACTGCCTCTTGAATCTTTTTTATTCAGTAGAATAAAGAGAAACAAGGATTTACTTTCTGATTTCCTCCTTTCTTTGTTTTAAAATAAGTTAACCAAAAAAAAAAGTTAAACAGTTATTTCTTTTTAAAATTTATTTGCTATATTCAGGAAACAGAGAATGAACAGTCTCTGCATAGGATTTGTCACGTCTGGAAAGTGAACTATTAAACAGCCGAGACTCTGTGTAAGTGTTTCTAACCCCAATAAGAACGCTGAACCTTAAACAAGCCCTTCTTTCCATGCGCCTTTCCTAACTCAGCTCTTTACAGTTCTTCAGATGAGAAGAGACAGTGTATACATTCATCCTCTTTGACAATATAAAACACGTCCTTTTAAGGAAATTATGTCACACGAGCTGGGTCCTTAATCTTTTCTAGGAGATCAGGGTAACGTAAGGCTTGGTATAGCCACACTGTACTGATACACCTGCGGAAGCATCCAGGCTAACCCCCTTGATTTACGTTCTGCTTCTCTGGCAGTTTCATTTACTAAAGGAATAATAGCTAAGATGGTCTCTCCTCTTATATACGATAAATAGCCAGAACTCTCCATAACTTACTTTGTTCACCTTTCTTTACTTCAAAGCCAAATTTATCAGCACCCATTAACCATCTACACTGATTTAAAAAAATGCAAAGACTCACCCATATGATATTTACACTTAAGTCTTTTCATGGACAGTGAGTGTTACATATACGATTCCATGAACTGTTAGACAATATATAGATCTTAACTCATCTTTTTAGATTTCCTTTGCCACGAACTTCAGTTCGCTGAACAATCTAGTTACCCCTCTTCATCTTTTAAAAATAAATTTATCCCCCCCACACCCTGCTTTTTAAATATAACTCTCCTTAAAGCAGATGAAGATCTGTATCATTCACTTCTTTTCTGTCCTCCTACAGAACAGAGTTTACAGACCTCCCAACTACATTGGACATTATAGAAATTCTATATATATTTATTAACAGGCAAATTTATATTTAATAATATTGTTAAAATTTCCATAACGGTCACCAAATTAATGTTTTGACTAAAGACCAAATGGAAAATTTCAAGCCCACCTCTTCAGACCCCTTGTAAGACTCAGGTTAAGATTACAGATGGAAATGCACATTCCATATGTCTAAATATTTAAAAGTTATGTATCAAGTTAAACTATTAAATAAAATATGGTCTCTTCCTCCAATCTTGACAAATATACCTTCAACCACCTGGGCGTACAGGAACGAATTTAGAACTTCTAGACTCCTCGAAGTTCCACAATATAGTACATGCAGGCTCTAAGGTTTTGGGGTCAGGAAAATTCCAGTCAGGTACTCAGAACATGTGGGTGGGTGGTGTGAGGGCTGGGCAAACCCCCTTAACCAATTAGGTCCTTCTTCCTGTGGGTAAACGTGCCCAGAACAGGGTCCTCTAATTCACGGGCCTCTCTTCCCGGGACTGAAGGCAATACTGCATAATTTACCAGAATGGAGAATTTACCAGATCAGTCTTGTTACACTCGGTTAATAAAGTAGCTGAAACTAAATATATAAAAAAAGATTAAGTAGTAAAATTTGAAACTCCAATCCCTAATCACTTCAGTTCCCTCGAGATCTACAGTAAAAAAGAGCCCAATATTTATCTGACTCTACCCTACAGCCTAATGTAGAGTCTGTGTTTTTTGTTTGTTTGTTTTTTACAAATTCATACAATTTACAGAACTCTATTCACAGCTAGAGGGAGTTAGGACAAGAAGGAGCAGAAGAGGGAAAGGAGGAAAACATCAAGTATCAGAGATTAGACATGCAGGTCTAAGAAGACATTTCCCTTGTGTTCTGTCACTTGTCTGAAGAAGCACATGACACCATGACTAACCATCTGATCACAGCCGTGAGTATCCCTGCTTGCTCTCACTAACACACAGATTCATGTAGTCCACTCACGGGCCTCATAAAGCTCCTATTCTAGCCACTGGGTCCATGGGAAGGCAAGCTGAACCTTGTCAATGTTTAAACTGAGACTGATACCAGCTCTCTCTACACTTCACCATAATCTGCTGCCCTGCAATTTCCACTTCACTTAGCAAGAAAATTAATTTGTTAACTTGAAAAAAACTAATAAATAATTCTCATCCCAATACATACATACATACTCCACAGGAAGGGAAGTATTTCAACTGGAAATCTTATTTATGTGTACTTACTGAGATTGTACCATTGTCTAGACCTATGGACAGTCTTCTTGTTTCCGGGTTAAAAGACATGCATGAACATGGAGCTGAAAGAAATGAACATGTTGATGAAATTAACAAAATGATGATTCTCATTGATTCAGGAGTGACTAACTAGCTAAAAGTGTGTGGCTATTTTTTCCCCACTATTTCCTGAAAAACAGTTCATTTAACGCCCACTCACCAAAAAATAAAAACAGTAATCTTACAACCAACCCCTAGTTTTTCAGTTATCCCTTTAAAGAATATAACAAGTAAGATATTCTCAAACTGGACTAGTTCCAAGGGGCTTGGTCTCAGCTGTTCTGTCAGAATGGAATCTAAATTTGCTTGACTAGATTAACAATATTTTGTGCTGTGTAATCCCTCTGTCCCCATCTATCTCTTCCACTCAAACCCCATCTTTAATAGAAACAACCTACCTTTTCTCAATTAAGGAAAAAAATACAAAGAAAGATCTTATAATTCCCTCCTCCCCCCACGTACACACACTAGTATACACATCTATTTTTTGATGCAGAATTGATTCGGGGCATGTGGACTAACAGAAGTCTTTTACCCTCAGCACTGAAGGCTGCTAAGTGAAAAAGCACGAGGATCTGTCTCAGTTTTAGGGGGAACCAACTGGACACAGAGCCAGGCTCTACAGGAAAGAAATCAAGTCTAGGTACGGCCTCCCTGTTCTGTGAAGTTGGCTACTACCTGAGTACAGCTGAGCCTAAGTAAACTAAGCATGCCTGGAAGCCAGTGTGGGCAAGAAGTGTTTGCTGAGCAGACCGCTTCTGGGTCCCTGCCTTCTCTATCTACACAGGCTCCCAAGAATGGGGCCTGTTAGCAATTTATGCTACACTGAAACTGTTGTTCTAAAAACACATTCAACACAGTTTTTAAATTTCTCCTCCACCTTCACAGTGGCCCTGTCTGTAGATGACAAACTGCTCATCATCATAATCATAATCAGCCTCAGATATCTTTACTCCTACTTTCCACAGTTATGATTAGATGTCTTACTCAAGGTCACGCAGGAACAAAGAAGTTGAAGAAGGTTCAAAGACTTCATTCAAACACACAGTCCTATTTTGAAATACTCAAATTAGATTACCTCTAAACTATGGAAGAATTTCAAGTTCTACTAACAGAGCCACTTCATAAACAGCTCACTTAGTAACATTTTTTTTGTTCTCTATAAAAGGACCATGAACAACAAAAAAGATCTTCCAAACTGCATGAAGTATTTACTTTTTTCTAATTTTCAATCATGATATATTCAGAAAATGGAAACACAAAAAATAATCCCCCCCCCACTTCCACCAGTGCAGCAGAGTATCTTCACTCTGATCAGCCACAAAATTAAGCTGGATTCCCAAAAGTACACTGCTGCAAAAAGTAGTCAAATGATATTTAATGCTCCGCCCTAAGAAAGTCAGTCTTTCTCGCCTGTGGCCCATCAACTATGTTGGCACAATTTCTAGGCAGGTGTTAAGATGCCTGTAACATGCGTTCAGAATTAAAATCTAATGATTTCATGGAAAATTATCATGTTAGCTAAAAAGAGCAAAAGAAAAAAATATATTGTGATTATAACTACATAAAGTACACAGCCACCTAAAAAAGTACATGGAGAAATGAAACTGTTTTTGTGTTCATGTGACAAGATTATTTCTGTATTAATCTTATTATTTTGCTATTCCTGTTAAAAGTTTTAAATATCTAAAGGTGTATATTAAGATATAAGCATGAGCATATGAAGCAAAACTTGACTGCAGCCCAAAGAGCTATAAACTAGTCAAGAATAACCTTATCACTTTGCTGCCTGCCTGACCATATAAAAGTTTTTTCTGTGTGATTTCCTCCAAAGTTCATATCTGGTTGTGAAAACCCACTGATCTCTGAATGTGATTTAAATGACTTTTTTTACAACACTGCATCGGTTACCTTGACATCTACATTGCTGTTTCTTTATTTCTGGATTTCTTCTCCCCTTTACTAAATTTCTTATTATTCTCTTAACAAAAATCTAGAATGCTTACTATGTTCCAGGCATGGGATATAATGATAGATAAGGGATTATAGATGTCATCAAGGAATTTATAGATTGTGGCACCAACCATGTACAGGAACTGTAAGACTCATCCCAATGTCACCATTATAGTCCAAATCACTTTATGTTTACAGTAAGAAACACCATCAGAATTCAAAAGGAAAAGACCTTTCCTAGAGAGTCCCATAAACAAAAGAAATTTAGAAATCCTGTTGTTCTAGAACCCATATACTTGAACCCAAGATGGTTCTAGACAGGGGAATGCCAGACCTAAAGAGCATTAGCTTCCAGGTGCCCCCAAAGACAAAACCACCCCTCCAAGGGGGCTTTATTGGTAAAACACCAAGCTAACCTGTGTGTGTGTGTGTGTGTGTGTGTATGTGTATGTGCAGGGAAAGACTTTTGGTAGGTGAGCCGTATGATGCTCCCCAAACCATTTCCCAACTGTGACACTCTAACAGGAATAGGCCCTGGGTTGGTTACCCATAGGCCCTGGCAGGGCCAAGGAGACAGGGAGTGGACTAAAAAGAATATTGATGCCCATGTCTGTTGTTACAGTAAATGTCTTTCCTTTTGGGAAATGGAGGAGTAGACAGATTGACAGAGAGATCCTTCTACCTTCAACTCACCAGAAATTAAAAAAAAGGAAGCTCTGAAAGACTAGTGTTATGGCCCATACAGAATGGGCTCCTATCCATGCAAGAAAATATCAAAGAGGCAAAACTGTCTGCGGAAAGATAAAAAGACACAGTAAATTAATGGTAATTCTGGCCAAATGGAAAAAGGAGTCCCTCAGCAGGAAGGGTTAGGAAAGAAACAAATAAAATATGATTTAAGCATAATATCTGTAACTAGGTTGCAAAAACATGATGTTTCACAAATAAGAATTCAGCTTTAAATGATGTAAAACTAATGGTTCCTAAGTCGATAAAGAAAGAATTGCTCCATCTGATGGCTGAAGGTTGAGGTCGGGGATGAAGTGGCTGAGGGACTTCTATTCTCCCACCTCGCAGTGGCTTTCTCCAAGGGCTCAGTGAAATGGCTGACCAGACCCATAAAATTACAATACAGCCCCTCCACTGGCCTTCTTCACAACTGCATCCCTGAACTCCAGATGAAATAAATACAGCCTAATACAAAACCTGAAGATATATTTATTTCCCCCACCTTTAACTGTTTTCCCCAGGAGAGAGGATAACCACATCTGGTGAGCTCTGTGGGGCGACCCCCATCTGCCACGGCCTCCCGCGTGTATCATCTGTACGCGGTTTGCCTGGGCCTGCTCCTACACAAACCCAGTAACTGAAATTCAAGGCCTTGCTACTGGTCTTGTTGATGTTATATCATCAGCTTCCTATTTTTTCCCCCAACATAGTCTATTAAAACCTAAGAAAAAAATGCTCACAGTTTATTCCTCAATAAAATAGTATAAGAATTCATCTCTATGCTATCTGATTAAGCCTTACCATTCCCTCTTTTCTGTTTCAGACTGAGGACAGCCAAAAGAAGTTATCTGGTAAAATTTTAAGAAGATAATAAAAGGTACAAATAAGATGGAAAAGAAATTTGCACAGGTCTCTGAGTAATGAAAAATAATAGTCTCTTATGTAAGTATCAGGACTTTAGAACTTGATGGCTTGTTAAATCTTATCGTAAAAATTAAACACTTTCATAACATTGAGCATTTTTTTTTTTTAATTAAATCTTTGTAGTTTCAGGCAGGTATTCAGCTTAAGGTTTAAGGAAAACTGAAATAAAGAGAAGCCCCAGTCTGGGTGGTTATATTAATGACCATATAATTTGAGGGGAGAAAAGCTCAAGAGATATAAGCCCCAGACAAATGGAACTCAAGAGACTGACATCAACCTCAACAGAGTTAGTAATTAAATGGATTACAGAGAAATTGGCTACTTGTATTTCTAATACTTCTATCCGTTAAGTGGTCTAAAAATATATATAAATATATATTGCTCTTGCTTTTTAAAAAAATATATAGTTAAGAGAAGGCATTCTCAAAATACTCTTATCGGGGGGAAAGTTACCTAATTTCTGTTATTTACACCTATAACCTCTTCATTTTATGACTGATTTATCTTCTGTCCTTTGTTTATTGGTTGGACTTTGCTCAAATAAACACAAGTTTCATTGAAGCTGTGGATTTCAATCACACTGACTGCTGCTTTCCATTACTTGGCAGGACACACTAATCCTCACGGGATGTTCTAGTGGTCTCTTTAAAACTAAGCAAACAATGGTACTTCCATGAATAAAACTTCAGGTGTTAAAGGAATCCTGATCAAGTTGGATATGAGGATCCTACAATATGAGGACTTCAAGGAGGGGCACCTGGGTGGCTCAGTCGGGTTTGCCTTTGGCTCAGGTCATTATCTTGGGGTCCTGGGATACAGCTCTGCATCGGGTTCCCTGCTCAGTGAGGAGTCTGCGTCTCCCTCTCCTTCTGCCTTTGCCCCTCCCCTCCACTCATGTTCTCACTCTCTCTCTCTCAAATAAATAAAATCTTTAAAAAACTTCAAGGAGCACCCCACCACTGCACAATAAAGATTTAATTCATGGACACTATTTCATTCAGTCCTGTTTATCACAAGACAGTATTTATTAGGTTTACAATATTCAACCCATGTTTTACTAAGAACACTTATAATTAGGACTCCAATTGCCTAGCATTAAAAATCATTTTTCATTTCAATCAAATATTTTATGCACTCTACTAAAACTAACCACTTGCTTCCTTTTAATTTAGTCTGAGTAACATCAGCAAAATTATAGTGAATTAGCAGTGGTCACTTTTTCTCCCAGACAAGTTTTAAGTTACAGCTACAAGTTTAAGATTTAGTTCAATAAAATTTTAAAATATTCTGTCATATGAAAATCAAGTAAGAGTATGCTAAATAAATAATACAATTATTCAGATTAGTTAATATCTATTATTTTTACCTTGGATAATCCATGTCTTCATTTTCATTAAAAATCAAAAGTTCCTTGGGC